TTCGCACATTTTTTTCGTCAACGTCGAATTTTCTCCCTGCTGCTCGATTTCCGTGTTCTTGTGCGTAACGCACCACTTGAAGTTTAAATTTAGACGTATAACCTGCTCTTACTCGACCCATGTTTCACTCACAACTAACCAGGCAAGTCAAGTAAAGGCGAAAAGGTTATAACTCTCCCCCGCAATGCCTTTGTTCCGAGCGGTACCGTTATTTTCGCTAGTTGCGAACTTAGGAATGTTAAACGTTGCCAAATTTCGGAATAATTTCTACTCCTGAAATAATATTCCAAGAAAATTATTTTTTCTATAATTTCTGTCTGAAAATTGTGCTGCGGCCTATACACGCATGCGGCCTATACATGCGTAAATACGGTATTTCTAGTGTATATCCGTGCCAAATTTCATATACGTAGTTCCAGTGATGAATTAGTTTTACTATCAGGCCGAAAGTTAAATGCATTGTAGCGTGTAGACGCGTTACTTGGTAGCGATCGCAAACAAACAGGTTCCCACGGCAACGAATCATCACGCAACAACAGATGAACTATTGGAAGTGGACCGCGCCGAGGCCGTTGCTACGTAACAAGGCTGTAAACACGTTCCTCCAGCAACAGTTGAACTACAATAGAAGAGCTGTGTTTTCTACGTCGTCCGTGCAAAGGGGTTATAAACCGGACGAAATTAGAGCTTGGGTCGAATATCTCCATCATGACCCTGCGAGTCGTAGGAGGAGACGGAAAGGGAAATCTCAAATCTGAGACAGTAAAATGTGGTCGTGAGTACCAAGGGACTCGGATGCAAGAAAAACTGCGCTGGCAAGGGCCAGCAGCATATACAAAAGACAGAACCATCCTCTCGTTAGAGAGGGCGCCCACAAAACAAGACCATAACTGCCAAACAATAATAAATATATTGTCATGAGCCTGAGATGAGGCTCGAAACGAAGATTTACTGACCATCAGTCGCAATCTGACTATGACTTAACCCGTGTGAAGGCGGGGTTGAATACCTCCATCGTGACCCTGCAAGTCGTAGGAGGCAACGAAAAGGGAAGTCTCAAATCTGAGACAGTAAAATATGTGGCATGGTCGCGAGTACCAAGGGATTCGGACCCGAGAAAGACTGCGCTGGCAACTACACAAAAGACAGAGCGTTACTTATCACGTGACAGTATAATAAAATTTACAGGTGCATTTGCATTGCTATAAGGTAGTAATGTAGCATTTAACCCCATTTAGTGTGACAATGTACACTGTACTGGGGCATGTTCTTACATTATGCACAGTCATAAATAACTGCAAATATTTATTAGAAAATGAATTGCGGGGAACATACGGAAAATATTACTTTGAAGGTCATGGATGTCACTAACATTGTGCATCGGTATTATTCCATACATACAATACTTGCACAACAAAAAAATATGTAAGATTTGAGGCTTTCACGGCGGTGACTATGAAGAAAGCAGTCTTCTGGGATTTGGCACCGTGTATATGTGGTGTTAACCGACGTTTCGGAGGAACGTATCGCCCCCATCTTCAGGGTAGAAGAAAAAGTATAAGAATTCTGCAAGCGACAACACCGTGAGAAACGGTAAAGCAGACATATGTGGTGTTAACCGACGTTTCGGAGGAACGTATCGCCCCCATCTTCAGTTCATCCGAAACGTCGGTTAACACCACATATACACGGTGCCAAATCCCAGAAGACTGCTTTCTTCAACAAAAAAATAAATCGCAATTGTAACAGCAAGCTCTGGTTTCCCATATAGATATACAGCTCAGCGCTGCTGGTGAACAATGTAGAAAGAAGTACTGATTATGTACTAATATGCACTGTTGGCATCTAAATTCCAGATTCAAGAGGTACTTGAACTAATAATTCTATTATGGTTATTCACAAAAGAAGTCACATAGGCATCAACAACTTCGTTTACCTGAACTAGTCACAGCGCTTTTCATATAATTGTGATGTTGATGGGAAATGTGGCAGACAGCTGCTACCAAGATCTCAATTTGTAAAAAGTTTAACTACTATCCAATTAAACACCTCCAGTTCTCAATACAGCAAATGAATACTTCTGCAATCCTGGCACCTTGTAGTTCAGATGAACTTACTTGAATTTTAAATATGGGTAATACCAAATGGTTTGACCAATATCATTTTCCTCACACCTATCAGGAGAAAGTTCTTTGGAAGCTTCTGTAAAGAAGCGCAAATATTTCATCAACATCCCACACCTAAGTGGCATGCCACATTGTGTTTTTGAGACAGTTGTCATGAATCAGAACATCAGTTGGCTATTGTAGTTGCTTACATTGTATCAGTTGTGCTTGTCTAGAGACTTTTGATGATTTTGGTCATGTTTTGGCAATTCTGTATACTTTTTCCTTTCTTTGTCAGTCATGGCAGAAAGAAAAATGAAAAGTGGTGTGTGTGTGTGATATAGCTGGTGCTAGGAAATTTGAAAATTCTTACACTGGAGGTGAAGTATAATGTGAATAAATGCCATGAAAAGGATGATAGGCCAAACACAGTCAGTGATGCCCTGAATTTCCCGTGGTTGACTGATGTGACAATTTTGAAGGGCAAGGACGAGATCCTTGAACAGCTTTATGGCTGGCCTTCCATGAATTGTGCTGTTACAGTGAAACAATCTGACGGTGTCAGATGTCGAATAACTTCAAGTCTGGACTGACAACCTCACTCAACACTATGCATCACTAAGCCAGGACAATATTTATTTGAAAACCTTAAAGTTTTCTGACCATCGGAAGGAACAAAAGCCAGAAAGGGCAGTTACTGAGACAATTATAGCCTCGAATGGTTAGTTCCAAAGGTTCAGGGTAAGTGTAAACCTACATAATACTAAAGTGCAAGGTGAAATTGCTAGTTTGGACGTCAATGCAACCAGTGATTTTCAGATGTATTGACAACAGAGTTTATTGCTCTCACCAAGGTTTCAATGTTGAAGAGACTGAGCTTAAAAAACGAATTTTCAAGGAGGAGAAAACAGTGACAGGGTTCAAAGCTGCAAGAGACTTTGTTCTTGGGTGAAAATGCATCTGGGGACTTGAAGATAGAGTCTTAGGTCGTTTGATTTGTCTCATTTTGGTCCGTCACACTACTAATTACAGAATGGATAATTTTCAGTCCAGTGTGACATACAAGTTTACAACACTTCAGTCTTTTTCACCTTACATGTTTTGATTCAAAAGAATCATCCTCAGAGGTGCACCACTACGATCAGGAAACACTGTCACATAAGATGTTTTAACCATATGCACTTATGGTATGAATAATGCTCACTATATAAATTTTGTTATTTACGCACTTGGTTTTGGTGTGTGTCCCAGGCATTCACGATGGCACTTCTTGAAGCGTAGACTTGCGTATGATGTTGTTTCTTTTAGGCGTAATGCTGGGTATTCTGACTGGGATTTTCCACTGCATGCAATATGATATTCACTTTTCATACATTAGCCCCCCAATGTATTTAAAATTTTATTAAAATTTTCTTTTGCATGTAAAAAATTAGTTATTATGTTAAAATATCGTGAGCCGATATTGGGTCATGTTGTTTTCCTCATGATGGTGGGAGATGTCGTTTATTTCTCTTGATATTATGTTCTTATTATTAGTCGTTCCTCCTTGCCAGTGCTCCAGGCTATGTCCACCATTTTTGTGGTGTTCACCCAAATATTACAATTGTGATTTTGCTCTGCAACAATACCTTATTCCTGCAGCCTATGGGTCAGATTAATGCAGCCTTCAAGACTTATTACCTAAGGAGAAACTTTATTCTGAGCAAAACAGATAGAGAAGAAGCCCCTAACCTTCAGGAGTTTTGGAAGGGATGTAAACATCTTTCAAGTGGTTAAAAGGATTGTTGTTTGTTGGGAAGAAGCCGGAAAATCCTATTTGAAATGAATGTGGCGAAAATTGTGCCCTCAATTCGCTGAAGACTTCAATGAATTTGCAGTAGCAGAGACTGTGAATGTCAGTGAAGAAATGGTTCCCACTGGTTAATCACTGGCCCTTGAGGTGGATGTAGAGAGTATTTTCAGTTGCTTCAGTCCCATTGCTAAGGAACTACACAACGAAATCTTGTTGCCTTATAGGAGAGGGAGAAAGAGGAGAGGCCCAGCAGACTACTGAGATTCCTCCCAAAGCAAAACTTGACTACCATAGATTGACTGAGCTTTCCCAGCATACTGATGCTGCAATGAATGTCTTAGACTATGGACCCTAATGTCAAAAGGGTAAAAACATTAATAGAGGAATAACAAATCTCCTTGCTGGTTACAAAGTCTACAGGGAGAAGGGAAGAGCAACAGCCCAGCCCACCTTCGACATCTTCTGCAGAAAGATTAAGACAGCAACAACCATGGGCGCTTAGATCATTTTAAATTCTGCCAGCCACTTCCCAGGATTCTTCAGTTGTAAGAGTTTTAACTGCTGGGTAGCCATCCCATGGCAGTTCATGGCAAGAATCAAAATAAAAAGCAAACAAATTACAGTTTATATATTGAGTTGTTAAGAAAGAACAATGTGGTGAAAAGACATTAAATAACGCAAAAACTTGGAGCATTGTCAGTTACTGAACCCAGAACCATAGGCCTATACAGAACACTGTCCTTTTTCAGTTTGCGAAGTTGTATAGGAATCCAGCACACATAAATTTTGAAGCTATGGTCAGAACAAATTAACTTTTTCATTATTCACTTCTGTATATTTTCAAATCCATCTACAGTCCAATGCATAATAGTGCATATGAAGCAGTGTACTGTCATATACACTTAACAATATGTTTGATTACTTTTCTTATACAGATAGACACACTTGCTACCCATCACTCCGGCATTGGAATGCAATACTTTTATGCTGCTAACATAAAGACTTCTTCCATTATATATTTTAATATCTTGTGATAGTCAGGCATAACCAACAGAAATATGTGTGGCTATAAGTGCATCAGTGAACAAGAGTTGAAAGATGTACTCCAATTTCAGATACACTTGGTCCTTGCCATAGAAATGTTCAACAAATAAACACCCACATAGGAATGCATTTCCATAAGAAACAATTACAGTGTTTCTTGGCAGAATACTGAATGCATTTGGAATAATCAAAAAATGAACTTAGGTTCACTAGTTGGTATGATGGATGGGAAGCACTCAGGGCTACTGGGTGCAGTGAGTTGTTGACTCAATGGCAGTGTGAATGCTCACACAACTAATAGTTTTGACTTATGAATCGGACTTTGCAACATAACTCATCTGTAATCCCAGAATCAAATTTACAAGTATATAAAATTTCCAGCACATTCTTTGCAATACTGCATTTGCATTCACCCTCAAGTTCATTTATTGCTGCAACATATAGTGTTGCAGAACTTGTCATACTATATAGTATAACACTCCCTAATCATAAGTAATTCTCTTAAATATGCATTGTATTGACCAATATTTAAAAGATCTTAACAACCCACAGTTTATATCATGTACCAATAGTTTCATGAGCCATTTATAAAAATTATAAAATCTGATTTAGAAAGTTTAGTGAAAAGTATATGGCCAATACTGACTAAAATAAAATTTGTCTCACAATATAAAGTGTAGGCCACCACCCAAGGATTACATCAAAATCTGTTCATTGCATTCAGAGATAAAACAGGTGGACACACATGATTTCCCTACTAAATGCTCATTTTATGCACTCTGTGTAAAGAATACATAATGTTGAGTCAGATCATAATTGTCTGGTTATACTTAGTCATCTGTTGGTATTATGCCACAGGTATGTGCGAGGCTGTCTCCAGAGCTGTGATGATGCTGATGCTTGTAACAGGGCCCCCATGTTACAAACATCTCTTGGGCTGCTGGCATTGTGCTCCATTACACTGATGGCCAGGTAATATGAGTCACATAAACAATGTGACACTCACCACACAAAACATGATGGAGTGTAAGAACTTCCCACAGCTAGAGCCTGATGGGACCTCTAGAATGCTTCATACAAAACAGTGCTTGAAGTCAGAAGATAAACTTGACTTGTGTTAAGGGGAAACACATATTGCAAATAATAGCATGAATCCTTAAGTCCAAAAAGAAAGAAGTCACCAATGAAGATGAAATGAGCTTATTCCCAAAAATCAGTCTGCTGCTGGCATATCACTGTTATAATATATATTTTAAATTGCAAACTATAGAACCATCAGGGATCTGTCTGTTAGAAAGTTCTGTTTTAACTGACCAGTACAGAGAAAGTTACTAGGCCCAAGGATAATGGCAATACCGAAGTTCTGACATAAGTAAACAGAAACAGTAATAATGATTGGTAAGCTGACTGAAGTAAGAAGGGAGAAATGGAAATATAATATTGGAAATATTTACCGATGAATTTGCTTAAGTAATCGCAGAAAAACTACAGGAATGACTGGTGACCGGTAATTATGGTTGAGTGGGTAGCACTCTTGCTGCTTTGTATTCAGAAGATCCCATGTTCAAATCTTGGCCTGGAAGCCAGCTCTCATGCAAGTTTTCTTGTGGATTTCCTGTTCCTCCATGCAAATGAAAGGATAGTATCTCAAATTAGGCTATGACTGCTTCCTTCCAAATCCTTTGCAATTCATTACTCACTAAGTACCCTACCATCTGATGCTATATGGTCAAGGCTACTGACATCTTTGTCAGACAAACCATAGAAAATGAATATTAACTTATTTTACTTACTTAAGCTTAGAGAAATTGCATATTAACTGGTAGCCTGATTAAGCAGAAGAGCAATAAGAGTGACTGGTGATACTAACTGGATGAATATAGAAAGATGACAACAATAGTGGTGATCAGACTTATGTAGCAGACAGAAATGCTAATACAGACTTGTTTTCTAAGAGAGCAGAGTGAAATGGCAATATTAGCTGGTAAGATGACTAAGTAAACAGACAGGAATACCTGTCCTATGGACTTGTGACTTTGTGCTGTGACTGTTCAATAATACCTCTTCATACTTCTTTGCACTTTGAACTCCATACTTTTGCTATGAGTCCAACTGATATGGTAATGTTGAGTGGTAGATTCATGCATTTATAAGCAACAAAAGAGAAACACCAAATTATTCATCACCCTTTTATTTGTACATGGTAGGAGGACAGTTGGCTGTCGGTTGCTCCTCATGCCTGTCTGTCTACCTGCATAAGAATTAGGTGGCCATGGAAAATGGCTGTCTTCCTTCACCAAGTGCTGTTATGTAATAAAACCATTTTTGGTAGTAAATGATTTTACCACTCATGTCTAATTTAGAAGTATGTATACAAACAGGTATAAAAAGAATGTAACAACAGTCTCAGGTAAGCAGTGACCCCNGTAGTGATGTGTATGACATAAATGAAGAACTATTTGCCATGGTAGAAAACAAACTTCATGTAAGTGGACCAACAGAAGGCCTCTAATTTGTATTAAGAGATTACATGAAATATCATCTATTTATGACAGTCTCACTCTTACAAACATACACGTATTTTTCTGCACGTATAGGAGCGTTATTCTCATCACTGATCTGCAGAAGTACAGATAAAAATTATACATTACAACTAAATAAATTATGTAGGATATTTTAAAGATAGTATCTTATTGCTGCAACTGGTATTGATAACACTGTAATTAGGTTGGCAGCACATTGCTATGTAGCTACAACATGCAGCAATCTCTGATAGGATGCTCCTGCCATGCCTTCTATTCAGGAATTCTCTATACTATGGTATGCTGGTGAAACCCCAGTAAAACGTTTCAATGTCAAGCTAAAATGTAAGGAACACCACTGACTAGTGCCTTCTCATTATAAAAATTGTACACTTCATTTGTTCAAAAATGTAAGAAACATAAACAACTGATATCAACATGACACAACCATATTACAATTAATGTATTTTTTTTTTTGCCTTAAGAATAAACGCTGGTAACAGTACTGCACCATAACATCTGTATAAGTAAGTCATGACTGGCACTGGGTCACAGTATGCTCACTGGCTGCATGCCACCAGGCTCAACCTCACTGTTCAACTCCATGTACTTGCCAAATTCTGTTGATGACAAGGAATGTGTGGACAATAGGAGAGGTTCTCTCACATAAGCACAGGCGGCTGCATCAGTCTGTGACATGAACTTCATGGGGACAGAACATTTTCTGAATGTAATGTTTGGCAACCCCATCTCTAGCTGTTCTGCGTAATCATCCATCTGGACAGACGCCAGAGGCACATCCAGGCATGGTGAGATGAGCCGTGGATTATTGGCAACAAATTCAACAATTTCAGACACTTGGGGACGCCGTTTGTGATCAAAATTCCAGCAAGATCGAATCAGACCTTCCCTGTATTAGAAAGGAAAATGGCAACACATTTTATTACTGTACCAATTATTACTTCAAAAATAGTTTCCTGTTTCATTCAACATCCATATTATCATCATAAGCCCAATAATAAAGTTTTGATTCCCAATGAAAATTACATTACATTTCACTTGTGGGCAAGTACAAATCAGATTTTGTACCAATATTATTTTCTGCTTTGCCTGGTCTGCCCTTAGTGAAAAGTTGATTATTTTCTTCATAACATGATTATTTTGGTGTAGTGGCATTTATTGTGATACTATTTATCAAGATGATCGTAATCATCTTTCACAGTAATATATGCTTGATTGATCTGTAATGGCTATTAAAATTTTTTTCCATAAAGCTGAATTTTAATATTAATTCTGGAATCCTAACAAAACTCGAGCTTGTGAAAGACATCCTTTCTTCCAGTTTATTCTGTAATACATGCTCTATATTTTAAGTTATTCCTCCTCCCATCTACCTCACTTTCAGCCTACTATAACATTTCTAAGGAGATCAATACTTACAGCTGAGGCTTGACTCCTGCTGGAATGGGGAGTGTGTTTCCATTCTTGACATGCTCAAGCACCTGACTGTTGCTCATTCCTTGGAATGGGAAGCTCCCAAACGTGATAATCTCATACAGGAGAACACCATATGACCAGACATCTGAACTTGGTGAAAACACGCCCAATTCCAGGCTCTCTGGTGCCATCCACCGCACTGGCAGCATTCCTCAACAGAAATAAATCATAACTTTCTCTGGTTCAACATGGATGGTAATGAACAAAGTTGAAAAATAATCAAGTGCTTTGTCAACCAAATATTGCACACTTACAAGCCGTGCAAGCTAGCTTTGTTCAATGTTCAATTTATTTACATTCAGTAAATCCAGATACAGGTAGATAACATAGGATATGGAACAAGTCAAATACAATATCAATACAATGACATCTGTAAAATAACAATCTAATTGAAAAATTAATAAGATTACAAATTACATAAATATAAGTTAATTGTACTTATGTATCACAATTTGAGCCTGTTAACAGAAACAATGCTGATGATAACGTCACTAATAAGTAATAAGACTATAAATTATGTAGATACAAGTTAATTACAGGTATACCTATGAATCACAATTTGAGCCTGTTGTCAAAATCAATGTCAATGAGTACATCATTTAACAGTTATAAAATATGTAAGTACAAGTAAGTAAAAGCAAGGAAGCAAGCAAGCAATCTCCATTCATACATTCATAGGCAATCCATAGTTCCCCAAAGGGAGACCTGTGAATACAATAAAATACAGTCAAAAATGGCAAGCAGGACAACATAGATAAAAATATTCTTCCAATGAGTGTAATTTAATTACTTACTTACTTACTTATTCATGGAGCTGAGCCCTTCTGGAGGAGCCCCAAATTCTGCAGCTATTCAAGAATTTCCCGGCATTTTATGGAACCCGAAGGTTCATTACCGTGTTCACAAGAGCCCTCAGCTGGTCCCTATCCTGAGCCAGATCAATCCAATCCATACCATCCCATCCTATCTCTCTAAGATCCATTTTAATATTGTCCATCCACCTACTCCTTGGTCTTCCCAGTGGACTCTTTCCTTCTGGCTTTCCCACCAATATCCTATATGCATTCCTCATCTCCACCATTCATGCTACATGCCCTGCTCACCTCATCCTCCTTGACTTGATCATTCTAATTATACTTGGAGAAGAGTACAAGTTATGAAGCTCATCACTATGCAGTTTTCTCCAACCTGCTGTCACTTCATCTTTCTTCAGTCCAAATATTCTCCTCAACACCCTGTTCTCAAACACGCTCAGTCTATGTTCCTCCCTTATTGTCACAGACCAAGTTTCAGACCCCTACAGAACCACAGGCAAAATTATAGTTTTGTATATTCAAATTTTTATGTTTTTGGTCAGCAGACGAAAAGACAGAAGGTTCTGGACTGAATGGTAGCAAGCATTACCTGAGTTCAATCTCCTCTTAATTTCCTCCTGAATCAGGTTTTGATCTGTTATTGTTGTTTCAAAATATCTGAATTGTGCCACATTTTCAAAACATCTGTTTCCTATCTTTATAACATGATTTTGCCCTGCATTTTGGTGATGAGACAGCAATATATACTTAGTTTTCTCAGTGTTTACTTCTAGACCAACCTCCTTACTTGCGTCAATTACAGTTGTGTGTTTTTCTTTATGGTATCTACATTATCACGGAGCAGATTCACATCATTGGCATAGACCAACAGCTGATGTGTCCCATTTAATTTCAGTCCCACCTGGTTTCCCTGGACCTTCCTAATGGCATAGTCTAAAGCAAAGTTGAAAAGGAGTGGTGATAAAGCATCTCCTTGTTTTAGACCATTCTGGATAGGAAATTTATCATACAAATGTTTACCTACACTGACTTTACTACACGTTTCGTTTAAACACATTTTAATCAACCTAACTAGTTTCATGGGTATGCCAAACTCTATCAGAATATTGTACAATACTTCGCTCCTAACTGAATCATAGGCTTTCTTGAAGTCTATAAATAGCTGATGTAGCTGAATAGCTCTCATTGTACTCCCATTTTTTCTCCAATATCTGACGAGGGCAAAAGATCTGATCTGTAGTTGATCTGTTACATCGGAACCAACACTGATGATCCCCGATAATTTCATCTATATATGGACTTAACCTTGAGAGAAGAATATATAATTTAATTACTGGTATACAATTATTTTATTTCATTGGCTATAATTTATTTATTCATTCATTCCTTCTTTCATTTACACTCATTGAGCCTTGCTTAGCTGGTAAACTAAAATAAACAGTCACAACAAAACAGATTATATGGCTTGCCTGGGTACAATTAGACAAACACACTCAAACATATATTGTTCAGATATGCAACGTGTGACTTCAAGCATGCATCAAACTATCAACGAACAACATTGCAATAATCAAGTATGAAATATACTGCCATTCATTAAGCATGTAATGAACCAGGATCTTTACTCAATATTGTGGTTAAAATATTCCTCCAGTAAGTAAAATGAATTTAGGAGTAGAAATCTTTTTAAAGCAAATTTAAATTGTTTAATATCATGAGCTATGTTCTCTATGCTAGAAGGGAGGCTGTTAAAAACCTTGATACCAAAATAATATGTTCTTTTTTGGAATGCTGATAAACTGCATGTAGGATGGTGAAGGTTATTGTTGTTGTTATTGTCATATATCTCACCTATACACTGGAGGTTGTCAGTCTGATTTTCACAGGTTATTTTGTCTGCGGTTTTACATGATTTCACTTGGTCCGCCAAGAGAAACAGGGTGCACTCACTTTTTCCTTATCCCCTCCACTTTGTTGTGCACAAACATTCTCTACTTTTATTTTGTAACTATATGCAGCTGATACAGTATCATCTAAAAAACTACAAATAAATAAATGCTGAAAGTATTCATATTTTAGGGGTTGAAGAGTCAGATTTACCTTTCCTATTAAACTTGTAGTAGTCACTCTCATACATTGGGCGTGTCAAGCCAAAGTCACCAAGCTTCACAATCCTGGATGCATTGACCAGACAATTTCTGGATGCCACATCCCTGTAAAATATCATGAATGCTCAGCACATGTTACAGAGATCTGCCTTACTAGGGTATACTTAAGGGCTATCAACACAACAGCTGGTAACAAACAAATAATAAAACGTTTAACATTTGGGTTATTTTATTTTCATCCCACTACATACGAGTATTTTGATCTATCAAGACCATCATAAGATGGTTTTTATGAATTACAAATCAATACTGAATTATTAAAATGAATCCATTTTTTACATTTATGAGTAATATTATGATCTAAATTTTAATTTTAAGTTCAAGTTCTGTGTGAGATATGTCTTGAATACTGATAAATTTAAAAATGGATCCACTTTAATAATTCAATAATGACATACATAACTTATAAAGAACATTAGATGATGATCTTTACAGATCAAAACATGTAGTGGAACAAAAATAAAATAATCTGAATATTAAAGGTTTTAATATCAGATTATAATCAACTGCTGTGTTGATGGCCCCTAAGTATACCTTTGTTACACGATACACAACAGGATGCAGAAAATAAAGCTCTACATGGCTGTCTGCCAGTCAAGATAATGGAAAGAGACTAGACTACGTGTAAATATAATGTGCAATGATATCTTAACATCCATGTATTTATCGCCGGTCAATATTGCAACACTTGTTTATTTACTATAACATTTTAATTTCTTTTAATATTTTACACTTTGACGCTATATGTTTCGGCCCCAAACAGCTATCTTCAGGTGTCTTGATATGTTACAAATATTTTATTAAATTATGTTACAACTGCTATACTATGTTATTCCGTGTTAGAATCACATGTTGTAGTTCTCTTTTCAAGGTAAAACATGATAAAAGCCATTAAAATTTCTATTATACCCACGTTATTTTGGTGGATTCTATTTCACCTCATATGGGGTGTCATCCATTGTTCATAAATGTATGTCTGTCCGAGGTGTTTTGTTTCGGCAGCTTGCCCTTCATGTGCATAGCCTACTTTTCAGTTATTACTGCCATCTGTAATTTATAAGATCCCTAGATTAATGTTGTTTTCTCATTGTTTCCTATTGTCATTGTGTTATGTTTGTTTACTTTTTACTCACATGCCCCTGGTTTGCGTATTTCCTCCACAGTGTGTGGTGTCTTTACTGGTGCAGATGCAGTGTGTTTGTGCCTGTATTTATATGCCGTGGTTGTGAGGAGTGGGGAGAGATGAGGGAGGGTATAGTGTTATGTTGTGTAATGTTGTATAGTATTTCAAATATAGGGTTGTATGTGTTGATGTTTGTGTCATTCATATGTAAATCTTTTTTACTGGTTTTGTAAATATGGTATTTCTCAAGTGTATTTACATATTTTCCTTTTCTCCCCATTGTTATGATTTCCATGGTGTCTGCTATTGTGCCATGTGTGTCCAGTGTTCAGTATGTGACTTGAATATCCTGAGTTACTATTGTTACTTTTTATGTCGTGAATGTGTTCTTTATATCAGGTCTTGAATATTCTTCCTGTATGCCCGACATATTTCAATGAGCAATCTAAACATTTCATTTGATAAATTCCCACTTCTATTATACTTATCTATTTGTGGCTGTGGCTTTAGTATATTTTGTATTGTGTTCCGCATACAGAAGACCACTTTCATATCTGTATCTCGAAAAAGCTTTATGTTTGTTCTTACTTCCTTACCACTGTACGTGAAGGCAACCCACTTCGTTTTTTGTTGCTGCAAGTCTGCATGTGTACTTTGTTTTAGTTTTTTCTGAGGGGGTATGTTGTTGATTAAATTAAAAGTAACACAGATGGAGGTACACAAATATGAATCCCATAGCCCTGAATCTACATGCTACAATAAAACTACATAAATAAAAGCACACCCATTAGACCTATAATCAACTGGAAAAAATGCACCTGATTAAAATTTGTCAAAACAACTATCAAAAACATTAAACAATTACTTACAATTACCATATACATACAATGTTCGTAATCCCATACATCTAATGACAGACCTAAAAGACATCGTGCTCAACAAGGACATGAAATTTTTTGCTCATCTGATATAGAAAATATGTATACAACATACCGAAAATGGGTATTAAAACATAATAAATATAACACTAGAAAATTTAGGAACCAAGATGAATGTACAAAAAGAAATCATGCAAATGTTAAAACAGTGATCAAACAAAATTATTTCCAGTTTGGCCAAGAATATTACAAACAAACAGACGGACTGTCAATGGGAGCTCCAACATCATCAATACTGGCAGAAACATACATACAACATATGGAGCACATACAAATCTATCCCATCCCAATAAAGCATCAAATAATTGCATATTTTGAATATGATGTTGACGACACATTGATATTTATTTTGATCGCATATATATATATATGTATGTATACGATCAAAATAAAACAAATATTGATCACACAATGAATGAGTTCAATGAAGCACAACCAACCATAAATTTTACCATGGAGAAAGAAGAACATCAGTCTATCAATTTCCTGGATCTAGTAATATATCAAAATGACAAAAATTTTGAATATGCAATAAAGACTGATATTATAATACTAAATGGTTCATGCCACCCACAAGAAAATCAAACTATCTGGCATTAACTATTTCTTTATTGCTGGTGGGGTGGGACTAAGTCCCTTGTACTGTGGCCACTTCTGGCCTATTGTACCAGCCCCAGATGATAGGTGAGGGTGATTGTGGATCAATTGGTGGAATGAAGATTGGCAGGGGAAACCAAAGTACTCAGAGTAAACCTGCCCCAGCGCCACTTTGTCCACCTCAAATTCCACTTGACCAGACCCAGGATCGAACCCAGGACACTGCGGTGGGAAGCCCTAACCGTTTGAGCTATGTTGTGGCCCACCAGTAACTATTTACTAAACTGATTCTATAAATATCCTTTAACAGGAAAGGCAAAAGACATAGAAATGAACACCATTCTAAATATACCACATAATAATGAGTAAGACATAAATTTAATCAGCATCATACCCCCTCAGAAAAAACTAAAACAAAGTACACATGCAGACTTGCAGCAACAAAAAACGAAGTGGGTTGCCTTCACGTACAGTGGTAAGGAAGTAAGAACAAACATAAAGCTTTTTCGAGATACAGATATGAAAGTGGTCTTCTGTATGCGGAACACAATACAAAATATACTAAAGCCACAGCCACAAATAGATAAGTATAATAGAAGTGGGAATTTATCAAATGAAATGTTTAGATTGCTCATTGAAATATGTCGGGCATACAGGAAGAATATTCAAGACCTGATATAAAGAACACATTCACGACATAAAAAGTAACAATAGTAACTCAGGATATTCAAGTCACATACTGAACACTGGACACATATGGCACAATAGCAGACACCAGGGAAATCATAACAACGGGGAGAAAAGGAAAATATTTAAATACACTTGAGAAATACCATATTTACAAAACCAGTAAAAAAGATTTACATATGAATGACACAAACATCAACACATACAACCCTATATTTGAAATACTATACAACATTACACAACATAACACTATACCCTCCCTCATCTCTCCCCACTCCTCACAACCACGGCATATAAATACAGGAACAAACACACTGCATCTGCACCAGTAAAGACACCACACACTGTGGAGGAAACACATAAACCAGGGGCATGTGAGTAAAAAGTAAACAAACATAACATAATGACAATAGTAAACAATTAGAAAACAACATTAATCTAGGGATTAATGCCGAAACAAAACACCTAGGACAGACAAACATTGATGAACAATGGACGACACCCCATGTGAGGTGAAATAGAATGCACCAAAATAACGTGGGTATAATAGAAATTTTAATGGATTTTATCTTGTCTTACCTTCAAAAGAGAACTACACTGGTCTAGTGGGATTTGTGGTGGGAAAGTGGCACTGGGACAGGTTTTCTCTGAGTACTCCGGTTTCCCCTGCCAATCTTCATTCCACCAAATTTTCCATCATCATACTCACCCGGGGCAGGCTACAATAGGCCAATCAGTGGCCGCCGTACAGAGTAGACCCAGTTGGACTCCACCCCCCACTAAGTGTATTAAAAAAACACAGTGTAGCAGTTTTAACATACAAGGGTTGGATAAAAAGTAGTGGCAACACTGCTGTAACATGAAAGATGTGCATCAGGTGGCACTATCGCCGTCTGTAGCTGATAGCAGAAGTTCAGTTGAAGTAGTGCAGTGAGTGGCTTTGGTTGTGTTTCATTGAGTTGCATTGTGCATCGTCCTGAAGTGCAGGATCCCAGTTCAAGCTCCCAGACAACATGTTTCCGAAACAAGAACAACGTTCCTGGATAAAAATTGAAGTTGCACAAGGTCATAGTGCACAAAACTGTTATCAGGGACTACAAGAAGCATGTAGTGATGCTGCTTTGCCATATCACACAGTGGCACGATGGGTGAAATTGTTCCATGAAGGGAGGGATGCCATTCAGGACAGCAGTCATTCAGGACAATCACACAATTCAACTTCTTGCTTCTATGCTGGATGTTGATTATCATTTGGGTGCGCAGGAGTTAGCTACCGAGGTAGGCATATTTCACAAAACAGTGCTCCACATTCTGCATGATAAATTTGGATACCACAAAACTGCAGTGCGTTGGGTACCCCATACACTGTCTGAAGTGCAACAATGGCAACGTTATGCAATTGCACAGAACTTGTTGGACCGGTACCAGATGGAAGGTGATGACTTCCTTGGAAGGATTGTCAGTCTGAATGAAACTTGGGCTTACTCATACGAACCGCACTTGAAGCAACAATCAAATAAATGGAAGCATTCTGGCTCTCCTCGTCCAAAGAAAGTGCACCCTACACAGAGTAATGTGAAGGTGATGTTCACTGTGGCATATGACATTGATGGAGTGATACTGCACCACACTGTACCTCAACGACAGACAGTAAACGCTGCCTACTACTGAAATTTCCTGCATAATCATTTTCATCCAGG